CATAAGCTTTCGTGAGCTTCAGCTCGCTTCATCGGATGCATTCAGTGGACTGATAGTTTAGTGTCCTTTTTCTTTTGTAGAGAAGCAAAGTGTGTGTTGTAAATGGCTTGTCTAGTTTTTGTAAAGTCCAGCCATGAGGAAGTTTGTGTGGAAGGTTGGTTTTTTATGACAGTATCCAGTTTTGAGAGCTCATTCTTAATCTTTCCCTGTTTGCTGTAGAGGATGTTGATCAGGTGGTTCTGCAGTTTCTTTGAGAGCGTGTGGCACAAGCTGTCAGCATAGTCTGTGTGGTATGTAGATTGTAATGGATTTTTTACCTTCAGTCCTTTTAGTATGATGTCCATCTGTTTGCATTTGGAAAGAAAGATGATGTCTATCTGTATCTGTACGAGTTTTTTCATGAAGAACTCTAAGTGTAGAAAGAGTTCAAAAAAGGTTTAATCATTTCTGTTACAGTGCAGAAATCCTTGTAATTTGCAACTAATTTTCTTATATACACTTATATACAAAGAGTCTATGTGAAGGGGAGCAGTTAGATAGTCAGAAAAAAAAATTATTTAGCGCTGTGGCTTCTGCCTTGGCTTTGTTTTCAAAACATAGAGTTGGGCTGTTAAATCTGTTTGAAGTAATGGGAGTTTAATCTTTTTCACCTTTCATGGGCTAGTTTTTCAGTGTTCACCAAAAAGATGTGAAAGAAAAGAACAGTACTTACAGAATATCTGTAAAACTTTGAATGCACAAATTTCTAACTGGCTTTTGGGGGTTTCATAATCATGTCAATGACCTCCTATATCTGACTTTTAACATTATTGTCAAATATAAATTCAATTTCATAATAGTAGCAAGACACTCTGGAAAAGTATTCCCTGGAGGATCATTGCTCCTCTTATGTGGTTAAGTTACTCAGACCCATATCCACAAAGGCATTTAGGCACTTAACTAACATAGAAATCAATGGGAATTAGGTGTCTAAAGACCTTTGAAGATCTGCGCCTCAGCCTTTAACTTCATGGTTTAGAACGCCATCCAAAGTAAGCGGTCATTAGCTCAGAAGAGCCCTGTTACGTTATTTCTTATATATACACCACGTAATACTGTTAAATATACTACATAACAGTAATATCATATCAAGTTGTTATATTTTTGTGGTGGTTTTGCAAAGAATGAGCCTGATTTTCTTCTCACCTGCACTTATTTTACTCTGGTGTAAAATCTCTTTATTTAAGTTATTCTTGATTTATGCCAACATAAGTGACAGGTGAATCATGTCCGCTATGCCGTAAGATATTTATACCATCTGCATCATACACATTATGTTGTGTGATAATGTCAAATTTGGAAATGAAAAGAATAAACCTCATCATCCACTCCAATTTGTACTGAAATATTTGCAAGGCCAATTTGCTCCACTGTTTTAATTATCAAGTGTTTCAAAAGCTAGAAATAATAATTTGCTGAACATGACACTGTAAATGTAATTGCTAAATTAGTGCAATGGACTCTGAGATTTAGCGATAAATTAAAATATTAAGGACTGAGATTTAAAAAATCATATGTTATGACTATTTGCTCTCAGTATCATATTATGAATATACCTTCTGTAAAGTATGCAGAAGTTAATAGATTTTTTTCCACCTTAGAATAATATACATTTCTCACCTCTGAAATGTTAATCCTTTGTGAGATACCAATTAGTTGCATTGTGGCATCACAAAGATTATGAACTCATCTATGGAATAAGCAGCAGGGATGGATGAGATTCTGGGGAATCAAGATTCCCTTTTCATGCAGATTTGCCTGTTCAAGAAAGAGTGATGGAAGAAAAAAATGGGAAAACTTCCTATTTAAAAATAATTCTGCCTCTGTTATATTTTCTATATTTCCCAACATATGCCAGTGATTCTGAGCTTGTCTTAATGACAAAAAGTATCCTACAAACTTGTTATAAATGGTCAGCCTGACTCACTTTCTTATAAAAAGAAACCAACAAAATTCACCTTAAAGAAAAGAATATTCTTTAGCCAAATGGGAAACAAAGCTTGCTGTCAAAAATACATCAGGAAGTATTTTTGTTGTTGTTGGCGTTTATCTCAACTCCAATGTATAAAAGTGGAGAAATATAAACACTTGAATCAGGTTTTGCTGTTTTTGAAAACCTGAGAAAATCTGGAGGCTAGCGGTATTTTAGCTTAATTACATTTTTGTTGGGTTTCTGGGGAACTCCATGTAGTAGCAACTGTGGGGAAACCACTAAATAGCTCTCTGTTTGAACCATCTGTCATGAATATGTGACATATGTTTGCTTTGTTTATTCAGGAGCCAAGTGTAAATTGATACACTGAACTAGAATTCTGTCCAAATGGTGGTATATATGGACTCATCTAATAAACCTGTGTACACACAAATATCTGTAGATCTATGAAGTTTGCTAGTAATTTGCAGTTAATTGAAAGTGCTGCTGTTTGCTTGTTTACAGACTGTGCTATAACCAAACTAAGCACATTATATACAAGGTGGGTGACTTTCTATTCTGTAAGTACCTGAGTTGTATTTGAATGTAGAACCCCAATATAAAACGGAACTAAGGCCTCTGCTCCTCTAAGTCGTCTTTGTACTATAAAGAAGAAAAGTGCATTTTTATTACTTGATGATTGCCTGTTCTGTTCATTCCCTTGGAAGCATCTGGCATCAGCCACTGTCTAAAGACAGGTTTCAGAGTAGCAGCCGTGTTAGTCTGTATCAGCAAAAAAATCGAGTACTTATGGCACTTTGGAGACTAACAAATTTATTAGAGCATAAGCTTTCGTGGGCTACAGCCCACTACATTGGATGCATAGAATGGAACATATATACACACACATACAGAGAAGGTGGAAGTTGCCATACAAACTGTAAGAGGCTAATTAATTAAGATGAGCTATTATCAGCAGGAGAAAAAAACTTTTGTAGTGATAATCAAGATGGCCCGTTTAGACAGTTGACAAGAAGGTGTTAGGATACTTAACTTAGGGAAATAGATTCAATATGTGTAATGACCCAGCCACTCCCCATCTCTATTCAAACCCAGGTTAATCGTATCTAGTTTGCATATTAACTCAAGCTCAGCAGTTTCTCATTGGAGTCTGTTTCTGAAGCTTTTCTGTTGCAAAATTGCTACCCTTAAATCTTTTACTGAGTGGCCAGAGAGGTTGAAGTGTTCTCCTACCGGTTTTTTAATGTTATGATTCCTGATATCAGATTTGTGTCCATTTATTCTTTTGCGTAGAGAGTGTCCGGTTTGGCCAATGTACATGGCAGAGGGGCATTGCTGGCACATGATGGCATATATCACATTGGTAGATGTGCAGGTGAATGAGCCCCTGATGGTGTGGCTAATGTGATTAGGTCCTATGATGGTGTCACTTGAATAAATATGTGGACAGAGTTGGCATCGGGCTTTGTTGCAAGGATAGGTTCCTGGGTTAATGTTTTTGTTGTGTGGTATGTGGTTGCTGGAGAGTATTTGCTTCAGGTTGGGGGGCTGTCTGTAAGCGAGGACTGGTCTGTCTCCCAAGATCTATGAGAGTGAGAGATCATTTTTCAGGATAGGTTGTAACTCTTTGATGATGCGCTGGAGAGGTTTTAGCTGGGGGCTGAAGGTGACAGCTGGTGGCGTTCTGTTATTTTCTTTGTTGGGCCTGTCCTGTAGTAGGTGACTTCTGGGTACCCTTCTGGCTCTGTCAATCTGTTTTTTCACTTCAGCAGTTGGGTACTGTAGTTTTAAGAATGCTTGATAGAGATCTTGTCAGTGTTTGTCTCTGTCTGAGGGATTGGAGCAAATGTGGTTGTATCTTAGAGTTTGGCTGTAGACAATGGATCATGTGGTGTGTCCTGGATGGAAGCTGGAGGCATGTAGGTAAGTATAGTGGTCAATAGGTTTCCGATATAGGGTGGTGTTTATGTGACCATCGCTTATTAGCACAGTAGTGTCCAGGAAATGGACTGCTTGTGTGGATTGGTCTAGGCTGAAGTTGATGGTGGGATGGAAATTGTTGTACTCGGTTTTTTTTGTCTAAAGACAGGATACTGAGCTAGATCGACCTTTGGTCTGACCTAGTATGGCCGTTCTCATGTTAAATTTTTATATTTCATAATGAAATATTTAGTAGAGGGCCTTCTGGGTGTCTCTCTGGTCTCCCCCTATGCTTTAATTCCTACATTTGCAGTTGGAGACTGCAAAAATAAGACTGGGGTATATGAACAATCATGGCTTTCATGTGGGAACGGTATGAGGTACCTACTAAAGCATGTCCTGCTTTCCTTTGGCAACCTATTTCTCATTTCCCTGGAGCCCAGGGCACCCGAGGCTGACTGCAGGGGGGGAGTTTTCCTCCTGGACAGGAGGTGAGGAAAATAAGTTGCACGTTTTAACTTTTGAAGTAGCCAGGGTGGGAGCATGTATTTGAGATCGCAGCAGATGCTTGTTTAAATAGGTCTGGTCCTTGCTGCATGGGTCCCTGTTTGCTTCCTCCCACCGCCCGTGGAAGGGAAGAGGGTGCGCGCCGCTCTTACATGCGCTACCCAAGTCCGGACTCCACGCTGGAGCCACGTCCAAAAGTTTCTTTTTCAAACAGCAGGGGGGAGTTGATTCGTGTGTGTGCAGAAGAAGGAGGCACCTTTCCGCAACCACCCTCCCCCACCCCCTTTTTGGCGGTGGGGGTGGGGCGGAGGGGAAGGAGTGGGAGGAAGAGGCAGTTTGGGGTTGGGGGAGGAGGTTTCGTCTCATCAAAGCGCAATCAGGGTTCACCGAGTGACTCCCACCTTGCTGTCAGCAATTCATTAACAAGTCCGGCGGAGGGGATCCGGAGCGGAAATTGTCCCGGCGGCTCCGGATTTACAAAACCGAGCCCTGGGGCACAGCGCCTGGCTGGCACCTTTCGGTGTGTCCCGGGAGGCGAGGAGAGCTGGTGGTGGGGACGGCCCTGCTGGGGTCAGGGCCAGAGCAGCTGCCCCCGTGGGTGCTTTGATCATCTTGGGGGCGGGGAGGGGGGGGGCAAAAAAACAACCCCCCACCCAGCCAAACTTTCAGAGTCCCCTCCAGGCGATGCACGGCTTTGCCTCCGAGGGAGCCGCCCGGCAGCTGCACCTGCCCGACTGTTATCACACCCAGCGCCGTGTGCGTGATCAATAACTCCGTCTGCTACCCGCGCAACAGAGGGGGCCCGTTGTGAGCGCATCCCAAAGCCCCGCTAACCAGCGCGCCCGCTCTGAGGGCTGCCCGGCCGGGTCCCCCCCCCCCTCCGCCTGCACCGCGCCCTCCGGCAAGGGAGAGACGAACCCCCAAAGCTCGCGGGTTTGGGGGGTGGCGGTAGATTCCGGGGGGGAGAGGCTCCCACTCGGGGTAGCCAGGAGCTGTGTAGACACCATGACCTGCAAGCTCTCTGTGTAAGTGGAAAATCATTTATTTTGTGTTCAGTCCGGAGCAATCTTTGATGGAAGCCAGGCTGTGGGACTGGGGGGGGGGGAAATCTCCTGGATTTTTTTTTCCCCTCCCTGTTTCCGAGTCCCTCCCTGGGAAAAAAGCGCTGCCCACCCAAGGAAGCAACCGAATCTCCTTCTCTGCCTCTGTCTGGCTCACACGCACCGCGTGAGTGTCTCGCTCTCTCCTTGAAGCGACTGCTTGTGTTTTCAGGTTGCTCGGACCTGAAATCTAAGCGAATAATCTCAGCGTTCGCGTAGCTGCTGGTGCTGGTGATGTTATTGGTGAAGAGGAGGCGAGGGGGGTTTCCTTCCATTCAATGGGTCTGAAATCAGAGTCTCTGGACCGCCGTTGTTTTGGAATATCTACATGCTGAGCCTCTTTGGGGTGGCACATCAGCTCATCGGGGTGCACCATCTGAAGAGAACAAGATGTTCCTTGCTACCTTATACTTCGTTTTACCCTTAATGGGTAAGTTGCCGGCGTTTACATTCGCTCTCTTTACAGGGCTTCGTAACGCAGAAGGTTGCGTTTATGAGATCCGATGTCTGAGGTCTGGTTTAAGGTGAACGGGGAAGTTGCCAGTAGTTTTGACGGATTTGAATGAGCACAGACCACATTTAAAGCGCTCTGAGATTTAGCTATTGCCTGGATAGCCCGTTATTAAATTGGGCTCTAGTAAGTTAGAGGAAAACTTTTCAATAGTCGCTTTTCATCTTAATAACACTGTGGGGTGGAGATGTCATCAGTGAGAAGAATGATTGATTGCATCGCTTACCTGAACGTGCCTCCCTGCCTGGTTGCAGATATTGTAACAATACATGTTTACTCTGTGTGCGTAGTGAGGAAGGGAAGGATTTTACTGGCGTTGGGGAGTGGAGAAGGGTGGCTCATATCATTCGCTGTTTCCTTCTGCAAAAAAGGATCCGACGTGTCGAGAAATGTGGGAACTGGGGGGGGGGGGCATAACAAGCAGCCTTTAAAAAGTGACTTCAGTAAAAAGAGCCAGTATCAGTCGGCTAGGAGACTTCTCCGCTCTCGGTTCCTCATGAATGTAATTGAAATCCCAGCAAAACCCTTATGGGAAGCCAGGGCAGATATTTAACCCCTCCGTGGAACATAGGGAGGGAAGGGTTATTAATTAAATGAAGGCTGATGTAAGGAACAGTGAATATTTTACCATGCACATTAACCCTCTGTCTTCTCTGCGGACTTTCCGTAAAGAGATTTGAAGGCGAGCCATCCCCTTGAAACCTCATTTATCTTCCCAAACATTCAGAACAAAGCTCCTGGCTTGGCCGCGGGCTGAGTCAGCTAGGGAGCGGCTGCCTTTGGAAAGGGGTCGTGCGTTCATTTTGTAGGGCGGTGGGTTGCTCTCCCCAGGTTGGGCTGGCACGGAGCCCAGTGTCTCAAAACGAGTTTGGGGTTTGTTTTTTTTGTTTTTGTTGGGTTTTGTCTCTCTCTCTCTCTAGACGTACTTTTGTCCGCAGAAGTGAGCGGGCTGCCTGGCGGGGACCGCCTGGACTGCGTGCGAGCCAGCGATCAGTGTCTCAAGGAGCAGAGCTGCAGTACTAAATACAGGACACTGAGGCAGTGTGTAGCCGGCAAAGAGAGCAACTTCAGCCGGGCGACCGGCCTGGAGGCGAAAGACGAGTGCAAAAGCGCCATGGAGGCGCTCAAGCAGAAATCTCTTTACAACTGCCGCTGCAAGAGGGGCATGAAGAAGGAGAAAAACTGCTTGCGCATTTACTGGAGCATGTACCAAAGCTTACAGGGTACGTTGCGAAACCCAGAAACAGCCCACTCCCCAAAGGCAGGGTGGTTTCCCAGCCCCTCTCAGCCGCAGCTAGCCACAACCGCGGAGACTAAACGGAGGGCCTGACCTCATAATTCACATTGTGCTCTTCAGCTGAAAAACTGAGGATCTTTCATCCGACTCAGGAACAGCTGCTGCTGCTGCAGCCTCCCGTTGTTGGGCAATCCACAATAAGGGTTTCCTCCAGAGGACCCCGGTTGACCTTTCTAAACCAAAGTCAAAAGATTAGGGCATTAGCAAGTGCCAAAGCGCCAGGAACAATCAATCTGTGACTTCGCCCTAACTGAGGAGTTTAAACACTTGTTAACTAGATCTCACTTCACAGGGACGCAGTGGGAAACGAATTAATTAGCTCCTGGGTGTAAGATAAAAGTGTAAATATAAGAAAAGGAAGAACAAGATACAGCTATGTGAAAGCGGATTTGGTACTTTGCATAGCATGCAGAGGAGAGAACAAGAAGCAATGGTCTCAAGTTGCAGTGGGGGAGGTCTAGGTTGGATATTAGGAAACACTATTTTACTAAGGTTTCAGAGTAACAGCCGTGTTAGTCTGTATTCGCAAAAAGAAAAGGAGTACTTGTGGCACCTTAGAGACTAACCAACTTATTTGAGCATGAGCTTTCGTGAGTGAGCTGTAGCTCACGAAAGCTCATGCTCAAATAAATTGGTTAGTCTCTAAGGTGCCACAAGTACTCCTTTTCTATTTTACTAAGAGGGTGGTGAAGCACTGGAATGGGTTACCTAAGGAGGTGGTAGAATCTCCATCCTTAGAGGTTTCAAAGGCCAAGCTTGACAAAGCCTTGGCTAGCATGATTTAGTTGGTGTTGGTCCAGTTTTGAGCAGGGGATTGGACTAGATGACCTCCTGAGGTCTCTTCCAACCCTAATAGTCTATGATTCTATGAGAGAGTTGCAAATGGTATGCCAGTGTTAAATGATAGGGTTGACTTTATACCCATTAAAGTCCTTGTCAAGTCTCCCAGTGAGTCTACTTGGAACAGAATCAGGTCCTTAGGTAATATTGCTATGTATCACCCACCTGGATTTTGTATTGCTGAAGAACCCCAAATGCCTTCTGAATTCAGTGGAAGTTTAGGGCCCCATCCTGCATGTCTTGTGGGCCAAGTTTGTCTCAAACATCCATTCTGAAGGTGCTTACAGCTTTATATTGCTCCCTGGAAGCCATACAGTATGTATGCATTAGCCAATGAAAATGTCAGGTGGAATATTTTAATGGATTAATATATGTCTCTTTGTTCCAACTTTCATAATAAAGTACATTTACTGGACATTTGCTACATTATAAATCAATTTCCTTCCCAACTGTTTTTTGTTAGAAGCACTTCTGCTCTTTCTCTTCCAATAATGAGTTGATGAAAGAAACTTCCTTTTCCCCTCCCCCAATCTCTTCTCCCTCTGAAGATAGGCAGTACTTGTGATGCCACAGACTGTCTCTTCTGATTTGTGACTTCATTCCATGCTGAAGGAGGGGAGGGAGTTAATGGCAAGAAATGCTTCTTTCTTTCAAGTGTTTCCATCTTCTCCCATGGGGAGAGAAAATAGCATGAGCAATAAATGGGAAGCCCCTTGTAATATTAGAGTAGTTTTCTTTTTAACCCAATCTAATTATTTTGAGAATAAAAACAATGCCATCATGTGAAGTAACAAAACCTCATCCCCAGAATAATGTGTAAAAGAAACCCAAATCTTTTGTTGTCTTTAGGAAATGACTTGCTTGAAGATTCCCCCTATGAACCAGTTAACAGCAGATTATCAGACATATTTAGGCTAGCACCAATCGTATCAGGTAAGCAGATTTAATATTCTTTAAGTGAAACGTGACTACATCACTTCTGTCAAGTTCGGTCTATGTGCGTTTTCTGAGTTTATGGAGTAATCCTCTTCTGTAAGTACAGAGCAATGTGATTGCTTTCTGGATCTGGGAAAGTCAAGATATGGGTACGGTTCCAAAATATTTGGAAAAAATACTAAAATTGAAGAGGGTAATTTCCCTCCTCCCTCCCGCCCTTGTTTTAGCACTTGTTTTCAGAAATTGACCAATTTACCTGTAGGTGGCAATCTGATTCCCTGTGTATGTAATTTACAATACAATGCCTTGTTGGAAATGTGGCTATGTAAATTACCTCCCATTAACATTAAGGGAGATGGTGGGAATATCATATTATTTTATGTTTTTTGTCTTTGTGTTTAAAGAAGAAGTTTTAGGATTAAGAATTGTCTCTTTTAGTTGGATTAACTGTCTTAGTTTTCAAAGATCCTTTCTTTCATAGCAGTTTTGCTTTTGAAAAAATCTGCTATGTAGTTGCCTTGAGCATTTTCTTGTACCATTCAGACTATACTGTTTGTATTTCCAGACTTAAATATTTTTGGTCCCAAACTAATATAATTTATTGGAACAATGGATTTTAGACAGTGAGATGTGTTACAGAAGAAGTCATTATTCTTGTTTCTAGTTTCCAAAATGTCCTGTAAGAATGCAGTCTGTATAAAATACCTTCAATTATATAGTGATATGATGTCAGCACGTTGAATATAGTATCATATATCATAATTTATATACAATGTAAACAGTTAATCTTGCAGCTAACTGCCTTTTTAAGGAAAGCAGCTTTGTTAATCACACTCTGAAAGAGAAGAGGTCGAAGGAACCAGAGCAACAAGAAACTTGGGGTGATTTTTCAAAAGAGCCTAAGTCCCATTTTCAAAGATGACTTGGGATGAATAAAATTTTCAGCAGTGCTTAAGTAAGTTAGGAGCCCAAGTCTCATGGGAAGTGACTGGATTTTAGGTTCTTAAGTGCCTAAAGGTCAGAATTTTAAAGATATTTAGGTGCCTAAAGAGGCAGATACGTACCTACGCACTTTTGAAAATCCAACTAGGAGTCTAAATTCAGATTTAGGTACCTAAATATATTTAAAATTCTAGCTCTGAGTTACTTTTGAAAATGGTATTAGGTGTCTAAATCACTTAGATGCTTTTGAAAAAAAATGCTCTTGGTCTGGAAAGCTAGTAGTAGGAGAGACAGAAGGGACAGGAGACAACAGAGTCCTGCAGGAATCTATTGTCAAAAAATACAAAGCCATTTCATTTTGGTGTTCTGGTAGCAAGCCACCTAAACTCTGTTCTTAAAGTTTATGGTTGATCTACTTAAGACCACATTTTGGTCTACCTTGAAATTCTTAAAAAGAAAAGGAGTACTTGTGGCACCTTAGAGACTAACCAATTTATTTGAGCATGAGCTTTCGTGAGCCACAGCTCACTTCATCAGATGTATACCGTGGAAACTGCAGCAGACTTTATATACACACAGAGAATATGAAACAATACCTCCTCCCACCCCACTGTCCTGCTGGTAATAGCTTATCTAAAGTGATCAACAGGTGGGCCATTTCCAGCACAAATCCAGGTTTTCTCACCCTCCACCCCCCCACACAAATTCACTCTCCTGCTGGTGCTAGTCTATCCAAAGTGACAACTCTTTACATAATCAAGTCGGGCTATTTCCTGCATAGATCCAGGTTTTCTCACATCCCCCCCACCCCCATACACACACAAACTCACTCTCCTGCTGGTAATAGCTCATCTTCTGATCTGAATGGAAACATCTTTTGTTACAATTTTTCTTTTTTCAATACATTGTTTCTTTGCCAAGGTAGTTTTTAAAAATGTGTTAGATTCCTCAGCTGCTCTGCAACAACAAATTATATACACTGTTCCAACAGCTGTAGTGATTCCTACAGCCACCATTTATGATCGTGGTGCACAGGCTGAGTCTGAATCCTTGTGTACTTAAAATTCCCATTGTCTCCAGTGGAAGTTTTTGGGTGTGCAAGGATTGCAAAATTAGATCCAGAGAAGTAAACAAAATTTGAGTTGCATTGTCTTATATTTCATTACATATAGAGGAAAAATGCCAGTATTTAGTAAATGTTTAAGGAAAAATTAGTAGGAAATATTTGTATTGTTAAGATTGTGATTTCTATTGTATATTATAACTTTTTGAAGCCTTATATAACTTTTTTCATGTCTGCATTTAACCAAGGTAGCAGAATTTATACAGGATTCTCAGATCTTGATTGTTTTCTTTTTTTCTGATTTGTATTAGCAGAATTGCCTGTAGGCAAGGTTTTCATATCTCGTCTTCTGCCAAACCTGGTCAGTTTTTATGTGAAATATAATTAGGTTCATATTCACCCTCATCAGGTTTATGTGGCTATCAATTGAAGGCAGAAGTTTGGCTCCATAGCTTTTATAACTTATTTTTGTATATAAATACATATGCTTTTTACTAAGTGTACAGTCCAGAACAAGCTTTTTAGTCACTTATCAGAAACAATTATTATGACTTTCTACATTATTTCTATTTTACAAGACATGGACAATAAACAAAAGTTTGACTGAAAATGAATGGTCCATACACTTCATCCAACATATGCATGCCTAAGAAATGGAAGTGTGAGATTTTTTTTTAAAGCACTTGCCCTAATTGTCAGTATTAGTCTCATATTACATAACCCAGGAATGATTTTAATTTGTCCATTCTGTATTTTCTTTTCTGTAGGCAATTTCCATAGTGTTTTGTTCTCTAAACCACATGGTGTTGTCAGACAGTTAAAACTTTAAAGTAAAATGAAGAACTTCTTTTAGTAGGGTCTGTTACACTTGGATTAATTACTGTATAAATAATATTCAATCTGAAAAATGTCACTAATGTAAAAACTAAAAAATTCCAATGCTTTTTAGTAATCCATTTATTTGTTTATGGACCCAAAGGGTGTCTCATTGTGATGAAGTCCACGACAACTAAATTTTGCATTTGTACCTCTAATAAACCTGCAAAGAAAGCCTGCATTCTTGAAAAATAAAAAGGGTAAAGTGGAGAAGTGGGCTCAGTGGGCGCAGCTGACTTAAATTATTTTTTTCCCCACAAGTCCCTTCCATAAAAGGAAGCCTATGACACGCCATCCTCCTAACTCCAGGCCTGTGACTCTCCTCCCAGGTTAAGGCCAGGACCATCTGACCTTATAGATCCAGACCTCAGATTTGTCAGCCATTGTTGTCACAATGTGAACATGCAACAGAATCTGAGCCTTGGTGCTGGGCTCATGTAGGTTTGTTTTAGTAATCATGTCCAGTTCTGGAGCTTCTCTGTTTCAGTTGTGAAATGCATGCTAAGATTAGGGTGACCACCTGTCCCTAATTGGACGGGACAGACCCGAAATGTACATTTCCAGTCCCGGTCATGGGTTGAATGACTCCGGGTCAGCATTTGTCCTGGATTCCCTGCACGCCTGTATGAGGATCAGGGCAGTGCCAGCCTCTTCCTAATGTGGCGAGGGGAGGGGAGGCACTCAGGTGGGCCTTGCCCCCCCTGCCATGAGGCCTCCATGCTAGGCCAGAAGCCTGGCAGTAGTAAGAGCCACCCAGAGAGCCCAGGCCACTGCGGAGAGCCCTGGACTCTCCACCTGCCCTGGGCAGTGCTCCCCGGGGAATAGGGACATGGGTCGTGGCTGCTCTTGGGCATCCCAGCCTGCTGCCCAGGGCAGATGAAGGGTCCAGGGCTCCGCACGGTGGCCTGAGCCTGGGCGGCTCTTACCGCTACCTGGCTCTGACTTCCAGGCTGGCCAGAGGGTAGGGCCTGGGGGAAGAGGAGGGGTAGGGGGTGGGGCTACTGCATGTGTCTTGGTTTTGCATTTTGAAAAGGTGGTTACCCTAGCTAAGACGCAACTTTGTAAATTAGCCTAAGACCTGGGTGCCTTTTTCAGATAATAGCATGTAGTTAATTTAAGGGTTTCATTAAAATTCCTGTTTTTTGGCTAAACCATAACTGCTTTTGAGAGACACCTTTTGGGACATTTATCCCCATTACAACTATAGTGAATATACAATTGATGAGGTTTTTGGAGATTAGCTTTATACTGTTAACCTCCATGCCTCAAGTGTGATCTTTCATTAGTATCTGAAATGTTTAACTTATTTAAAATTCAGTGATTTCATCTTCAACACAGAACAGTTTGGCCTCCAGCATGCAATGACTAGTAACCCACCTCTTAAAATGATATTTGACGTTGTTCCTTACAACTGGAAATATAAACTCTAAAATAAATATTATAATTTTTGTATTCATAAAAGCATAACTACGTATAATTGAAGAAATATTTACAAAAGAGATGGTTTCTGAAATGCATCATTCACAAAGTAGAGAGCCAATGAAGCAGAACAAAACGCTTAGGGCCATTTCTGTGCAGTGGTGTAAACAAAATACATAGTGGCAAATAGAAGAATATTTAATTCTATTCCTTCAGATGACCTAATGTTATACACACACAACATTAAACTCGACTTGCGAGTTGAATGGTTAATCACAAACTCATTACTTTGTTAATCTTCGTATATCCTTTCTCATTTATGTATTACTTTTGGAAATATATACTGATTTGCTGCACGGAGGCACATTCTACAACAGTGGTTCTTAAACCATTCATGGTCCAGGGAGAATTTGCTGGTGGCTTGTGGAGAATTGGTTGGTCACACACTTCTGGCTCCTTATTGTTTCCAGCTGTTAAATCACATTCAAAGATCCCTAAAAATAAATAAATACTTTCCTAATCTTCCTTTTTCATGTAACTGATCGCTGTAGTTACAACATGGATGTTACATAAGTGACAACGTGCATAAGAGCAGGGGTTCTCAAACTTCATTGCACCACGACCCCCTTCTGACAATAAAAATTACTACGTGACCCCAGGAGGGGACACTGAAGCCTGAGCCCACCCAAGTAGGGGG